AGACCAAGGACTGGCTGACGGGGCTGCAGGCCGAGATCCTGCGGAAGCGGGAGAGCCTGGCGCCCGTGTCGCCCACCGCCAACTCCTGCCTGCTGGAGGAGGGCTTCGACCTCACCAGCTCGGACTACGAGTCGGAGGGTGAGTGGCCCTGGCCCTTCCGGTCGGTGGCGAGGCGGGCAGGAGGCCGTGCTCCCAGCCATGGGTAGGGCTGTCAGGAGCCCTTCCGAGCGCGGCCTGGGGATGGACACGGGGGCTGCGGTGCAGTTTGCCCCGGCGATGAGGTGGGCAGCGTTCGTGTGCAGGATGATGTGTGAAACGGCAACTAGGACCGGAGACATCGAACCCCACTTGAAAGCAGTGGTTTTGAGGATGTCGGGGCTTCGGTTTGGTCCCCGTCCCAGGCATGAATGGAATTCGGGGCCTGTCCTTGGGGTCACGTGGGTTCCCATGGTCTGCTAGCAGGTGGGCTGAGGGGGTCCTGACACCACGGGGCCGAGACAGGCCCCCATGAGAGTGATGGCCTTCCACCCTAATCGTCTGTGGCTCCCTTGTTCCCAAGGGGATATTCTCGAAGAGGATGAAGACTATTTGGATGAACTGAGTCAGCCTGTGGTCTCAGACAGTGAGCTGGGCGGGGACGACCTTGCCGATACCCCCAGCTCCATGGCGGCACCGCCCAGCAAGTCACCTGCGCTCCCCAAAAAGAAGCAACATCCGACCTACAGAGGTAGCGGGGCCTCCCCTTTCTAACAGCCTTGGGCGCGAGGTCACTCTTTTCTCAGCATCTCTGCGTGATGCCACAGGCAGTGCGCCGCCCCATGAGGGCGCAACCACGCGGTCACCGCAAGCGGCGGGCACGGGGCTCTGGGAAGGTGGCAGCTACCGCCACACTGGTTTTCTCCGGTGATTTGTGATTTACAATTTTTGGTGCCCCTTTAATATCCCAGATTCATGATAATTCCCATTTCTCCTGTGTATTCAAATGACCACAGCTCTGAACTGATTTTACATTTGATTTGATTTTTCTCTCCAAAACTTTTCTGATTCAGTCCTGGAAGAGGCATGTTCAATATCTGTGTGCTAAGTTGCTGGTCTTATTTTCTTATAACATTACACTAGTTGTTATATAGTAACAATTTTATACATTATATAATTATACATATACATATATGTAATTAATGATATCAACATTAGCATCATTATGTCACCATTGACTGAAAGGCATGTGGGTTGAACTGCACGTCCCTAGATTATATAGTATAGTTGACTCTTGAATAGTTTTTTTGAAATACATTTTTATTGATTTCAGAGAGGAAGGGAGAGGGAGAGAGAGATAGAAACATCAATGACGAGAGAGAGTCATTGATCGTCTGCCTTCTGCTCACCTCCCCCTGGGGATCGAGCCCACAACTGGGTCATGTGCCCTGACCTGGAATCAAACCTGGGACCCTTCAGTCCGCAGGCTGACGCTCTGTCCGTTGAGCTGAACCGGCCAGGTGCCTCTTTGAATAAAGACTAGAGTAACAGGGGCTGTGTAGGCTGCCCAGCCACCTGGTGGGCGTCCAGATGGATTTGAGGGATGGGGTGTTGGAGCCAAAATGAATGGACCAGGCTGTGTTGTGTGAGAGAAGACCTGAACTTGTTCTGTGTTTACATGTGATACGTGCGTGTGTGATGAAACACAAGCATCACTTCCTCGTGCTGCTCTGAGCCCGGAAGGCTTTGGCCAGGTGCGGCAGGAGGGCTAAGTGTGTGGGACCTGAGTGCCTGGGACACTCCACACGAGGGGCTGTGGCTGGAGGCTGCCCTGCGGGCAGAGACCTGCGGTGATTCTCAGCGTCCCAAACAGTTGTCTTGTGTGTAGAGCCAGGGCTTTAGAAGGGGGGCTCTGGTTTCCAGCTGCCGCCTCTACTCGGTGCGGACGTCTGG